TCCTTTTCTCCCGTCTCCTCTCCTCTCCTCTCCTTTTCTCTCGTCTCCTCTCCTCTCCACTCCTCTCCACACCATCCCTCCCTCCTTCCTAGCCTGCCCACCGCCCGTCCCCTCACCCCTTATCCTCTTTTTTTTGACTCATCGCCCTGTCAGAGATCGCTGCAGCCTTCCCTGCTTGTGGTCAGCGCCCTATCGATGGGCATCTCTCGTCTGGTTCTCCGTTCTTATAGCCCTTACCTGTGTTCATCCTTCACCCTGTCTGCGGGTCATTCTTCATGCTGATCGTCCTTATGATGAGTGGGTAAGGAAGGAGAGAGAGGGAGACAGACAGACAGACAGTCAAACTAAATGACTGGCTTAGACAGACAGAGGGGGGAAGTAGACACAGACAGGCAGAGATAGAAGCGGAAATAACAGACAGATAGACGAACAGAGAGGGGGAAACAGCAATAAAAGAAAACGGGAAAGAAAAATAGACAGAGATAAAAGCGAGAAAGAAACTGAGGCAGACAGACAGACGAATGGACAGAAAAAAAAGAAAGGGCAACCCATGTTGCAGGTACCCAAGTGCAACTCGAAGAAAATCCATGCATTATGGAAAGGGCGCCGACCGATTCTCTTAGGTCGGTTGAAATGATGAATGGCTACCATACACCCGACCTTCGCCCGCCTAATTTCATACTTATCTGCCCACTGGACTCGCCGATTGCCCACTCACGAGCACGCCCACCCGGCCGCCCATTGCTGTTTAATACTTGGTCGTTAAAACCATTTGTCTGAATGTTACTGTCGCTAAATCATTTTATTCAGTGATACTTGCGTCTGAAGTGGGAAGATGATACCTATATATTAATAGTGCAACATGTAGGGAATACAGCCGCATTTTTTATTGATTTATTTGCCCGTTTGTGGTATCTGCATACATTTACTTCCCCGTTCTTGGTATCTTTATACGTTCATCCGTTCTTGGTATCTTTATACGTTCATCCGTTCTTGGTATCTTTATACGTTCATTTCCCTACTCATGGTATCAGTATTTCTTTTTCTGTTTCATGTTACCTTCATGCATTCCTTCGCCCATTGCCCATGATATCGTTGCATCGTCATTCATGGTATCTCCACCAAATGATTACCAAGTGACCTCCCCATGCTCTCCCAAAGGCAACTCCTCTCCCAACACTTTGCAACCCCCTACCTGCCTCTCCCTCCCCCTACCTTCCTCACAGAACCCCCGCCGGTATAACATGTGCTAAAGTGCGTAACGCCAGCTATCATGGTCTGTTAGGGGCAGGATGAGGTGGAATCAACGCGCTCGCCTCGTCTGGACGGCGATTGTGGCGGCTGTGTTGTGGTGGAGTCGTTGTGGTGGAGTGCCGTGATGGGGGCTTTGTTATGGGTGTGTGTGTTGGTGGTGATGGTGGAGAGCGTGGGTTGTTTTGGGCCTTTCTGTGTGTATGTGTTTGGGGATTTAGGATATGGCGCTGGTTTTCTGATGGTTGTGATAGCTTTGCGTTGCTTTCAGATTGTGTGTTTGTAGTTTTAGGATGTATGGTGAGGCCTTTGCTGATGAAATGCATGCGTATGTAAAAAATGGAAGGTAGGTAAGGTAGGAGTATAAGCAAAAAGTTGGGAGATAAGAGTGGAATTAATGACAATAATGCGCAGGAGAAAAACAGAATATAGGAGCGTAAGAATAGTCCAGAGGAAGATAAGTATAGTTCCCCATCTACTTTAGAGAAGATGCGTGTTAAAGAAAAGTAGTCAGCTATAAAGTCAGAAGGATGGCTCATGACATAGTAAAATTTAATAATCGACCAATAAAGGTCATGTAGTGTAAATACCTGGAAAAAAATAATATATTCAAATGGCATATGAAAATTAAATGGAGGATATATATAAGCCAAACAAAAAAAAAGAAAACAGATATTTGAAGAGAAAGCGTCGGCGAGAGAGACAGAGGCTGAACCGAGTTGTGGCGCCGCGATGGAGTGAGATGTCACGCCACGGGGGTCGTCATTACACATGTCGGCACCATGGGGGGGGACGCCGTACACCCCCCTCTCCCCCCCTTCCCTTCCATTCCTCTCTAACATCACCACTGCCACCATACCGATCTAATCATTGTGATTTTGTAGCTGAAGTGCACTTCATCAAAGACTATTGTAAGTGTAAGTATTTTACATTCGTCACTATTAACTCTTGTCTTTTTTTGCTATTCATCTATTTTTTTTCATTCGTTTCTGTATTTGTGATGTATTTTCGCTGTCAAAATGTCTACAAAATATACTCTGTTTTGTATTTTTGGTCACTGTATTTGCCTTGCTTTGTTAAGAATACGTTCAATTTCCGTCCATATATTCTCACTTCCTCTTTTTTGTATTTTCACCTTTTTTATATTTAATTTTCTTCCATTTTTAATTCGTATCCCATTTCTTTGAGACGTGTGTTGTGACCCCGTTGACGCTTATCTCCTCTTATATATGTTTTAAATCATTTTTTCTGCATCAGTTTCTTTTTTTTTTTGGGGGGGGGAGGAGGGGGCTGGAATCCTTCCTCTTTCCTTTTATTTTCACCATTATCATTTTTTACCCTTTTAATCCCTTCCTCTTCTCCATCTCTACATTTCTCTTGTTTTCATCTCCTCTTATTTCTCTTGTTCTTATCATCTCCCCTTTCTCTTATTCTCATCATCTCCCATTTCTCTTGTTCTCATCATCTCCCATTTCTCTTATTCTCACTATCTCCCATTTCTCTTGTTCTCATCATCTCCCTTTTCTCTCGTTCTCATCATCTCCCCTTTCTCCCGTTTTCATCACCTCCCATTTCTCTTCTCTTCCTGCTCCGATGTTCACTTGTTCACCCCCGTCAGTTCCCTCTTCCTCTCGCTAGTTGAAGTCTTTCTAGGAACTTATCCTTCCCCCTCTTCCTCGCCTATCCAGGTCCTCTTCACTCACTATCCTGACCTGTCATTTAACCCGCTTATGTCCAGGTGATGCAAGAAGGATCACTTGTGCTCGGAGGGACAAGGAGAGGGAGACAGACAGACAGGAAATAGAGAGAAACAGAGAGAGAGAGAGAGAGAGAGAGAGAGAGAGAGAGAGAGAGAGAGAAGAGAGAAGAGAGAAGAGAGAGAGAGGGGGGGAGAGGAAGAGAGAGAGAGAGGGGGGGGGAGAGGGAGAGAGAGAGAGGGGGGGGATAGGGAGATAGAGAGAGAGAGAGAGAGAGAGAGAGAGAGAGAGAGAGAGAGAGAGAGAGATTCTGCAATGAATGAAAATGAAATGCATATTTTTTTGTATATAGGAATGCAGTTTCCATTGACGTCTTTTCCATAGCAATCTATTTAGATCCCAAGATGACCATGGTGTTTTGTAGACTAACCAGGCATATTACGTATTTTAACAATACCAACTCTCATTCGTGTAGGTCCTTCTTCGGTTTTCCTTTTGTCCTTTTGATTTTGTACTTCCGACACGTAGTTCTTGCAGCATAGAATTTGTTAGAGTGACAGAAAGAGAGAGACATATGAAGATGGCTAGAGAGAGAGAGAGAGAGAGAGAGAGAGAGAGAGAGAGAGAGAGAGAGAGAGAGAGAGAGAGAAGAGAGAGAAGGAGAAAGAGTCCTTTGACATAACCTCTCTCCTTTCTTTAAGCTTTGTCCAGGCCGGAATCCCGACGTGCTCAGTCACCGGAATTCCATTTGTAAGTGAGAATGTTGACTTGTTTACGGCGTGAGAACAAGCTAGGTGTTGGCTAGGGATGCGTGGGGGGGGGGGGGGGGAGAAGGGGAAGGGGGAAGAGACAGTGGAAGGGAATTGGGGTGGTTGTAAGGGTGGGGGGGGGGGGCCTATTCAACAAAGGGCGTCGACCAGTGTATATTTATTGTCCCAGAAAACGATTACTACGAATATGGATGTTAAGTTCCCTCAGAGGTTAGGCGGGGGCCCCGTTTGGCGGGTGGGCAGCCTCCCTCCTCCACTCTTTCGGTAACAATAGGCCTAATCCAGGCTGTACAACGGCGGGATAGGGGAAAGGAGGCCTACATTGGGGCCGGAATGAAGGAAGGGGATGTTTGGCAGAGGTGGAAGTTGTTAGTAAGAGCTACTTGACTGCGAGAAAAGTCGTGTCGCCTGTCTTCTCCTCTTGGGTTCAGGCCTTTAGGTGCGTCGGAAGGTGAGTATCAGAGGCCGTGGTGGAAAGGGAAATACATTGCGACTGTAGAGATATGTATGCTGGAATTGTTATACATATATATATATATATATATATATATATATATATATATATATATATATATATATATATATATATTTACATATATATATGTATATATATATATATATACATATACGTATATATATGTGTGTGTGTGTGTACGTGTGTATGTATGTATATATCTATGTATGTGTTTATGTATGTATGTATTATTGTATGTGTGTGTTGCTTGATCGCGCGCGCGCTCGTGTGTGTGTGTGTGTGTGTGTGTGTGTGTATGTATATGTGT